AATCTAACAACTCCAGGAGCTGGTGCTTTAAGAAACACACCAAATGTCATGAAACTCATGATAAAATTGTGAGAACTGGCTACACTATGTACCAAATAATGCACCTAGCACAACATATACCATGCCATGTTTTGTTCCTTAATAATAGGATTAGTAATGCTTAGCCAATTGAACGCTGTGGTTGTCTGAAAATCATATCTTATAAAAGATGTATCTTTTATAAAGGTACTCTACCATCTTCTGGTGCATGATTGCTGACATCTTGTTCTGACCCCATTAATGAGCGGTACTTGATGAGCACATCATCCATTACAGTAAGCATGCATTCAAAGGCTGTATAACTATATTACACAATTGTGTCTATTATATTATTGAATCTGATAACTGCTTAGATCTAAAGTATTTTGTGTGTATACTACACATATACATCTGAGATACCTTCTGCAGTTTTGCATTTGAAGTACCTTATATCCAGAGAACACAGCTGATCTTTTTGATTTAGAAGTGAGTGACATCTTGAAATTCTCTTTTACCACAAAGTTGTTTCACTTTCTTAAGACCGATCTGGGTCTTAGTCCTCAGGAAAGTTTTGACGACCATGAATATCATAAGTAATCTCACTCCATTTTTCTTCTGATACAAATTGGATGGCATTGAGAGTAGAAACTCAATTTTCTGGAAGCTGTTTCTGATACTGGTTGTCTTTCCCCTTGACTGGAACTGAACTTTTAGCAGAAAGTTCCAAGGAATGAATTCTGTGACTTCTCTGAACAATCGTGAGTGTCCATCTGACAGAGGCAATCAACAATCAGATAGGTACAAATGGCTCCAATTTGGCTCTTGTGACGTTATTGACATGAACTGTGACCATATAGATCATTTTTGCAACCAAGGTCCTATAGTTGCACCAAATATTGTACAAAGGTTGTCAAGTGAGGTGTCTATGACAAGGTTATGATTTGTTGGTTATGATTATGCTGTCTGTATGTGTGTATCATTTTTGTATTTGAGGCTTATAAATATTGGCTATGTACTTGTATCTCAATGTGTTTGATTCTAAGTAGCCTCAGTGAAGCATTTGGTCAGCTTCTTAAGAAAGGACTATTCTCAGTAAGTGCCCAATCAAGAAACACTTAACTGATTACAGGTCTCTGGAATAACAGAGACCTGGTGGGATAAATCACATGATTGAAGTACTGTCATAGATGGATATAAACTGTTCAGGAAGGACAGGCAGGGCAGAAAAGGTGGAGGAGTTGCATTGTATGTAAGAGAGCAGTATGACTGCTCAGAGCTCCAGTACGAAACTGCAGAAAAACCTGAGAGTCTCTGGATTAACTTTAGAAGTGTGAGCAACAAGGGTGATGTCGTGGTGGGAGTCTGCTATAGACCACAGACAAGGGGGATGAGGTGGACGAGGCTTTCTTCCGGCAATTAACAGAAGTTACTAGATCACAGGCCCTGGTTCTCATGGGGGACTTCAATCACCCCGATATCTGCTGGGGGAGCAATACAGCGGCGCACAGACAATCCAGGAAGTTTTTGGAAAGTGTAGGGAACAATTTCCTGGTGCAAGTGCTGGAGGAACCAACTAGGGGCAGAGCTCTTCTTGACCTGCTGCTCACAAACAGGAAAGAATTAGTAGGGGAAGCAAAAGTGGATGGGAACCTGGGAGGAAGTGACCATGAGATGGTCGAGTTCAGGATCCTGACACAAGGAAGAAAGGAGAGCAGCAGAATACGGACCCTGAACTTCAGAAAAGCAGACTTTGACTCCCTCAGGGAATGATGGGCAGCATCCCCTGGGAGAATAACATGAGGGTGAAAGAAGTCCAGGAGAGCTGGTTGTATTTTAAAAAAAATCCTTATTGAGGTTGCAGGAACAAACCATCCCGATATGTCGAAAGAATAGTAAATATGGCAGGCAACCAGCTTGGCTTAACAGTGAAATCCTTGCTGATCTTAAACACAAAAAAGAAGCTTACAAGAAGTGGAAGAATGGACAAATGACCAGAGAGGCGTATAAATATATTGCTCAGGCATGCAGGAGTGCAATCAGGAAGGCCAAATCACACTTGGAGTTGCAGCTAGCAAGAGATGCTAAGAGTAACAAGAAGGGTTTCTTCAACTATGTTAGCAACAAGAAGAAAGTCAAGGAAAGTGTGGGCCCCTTACTGAATGAGGGAGGCAACCTAGTGACAGAGGATGTGGAAAAAGCTAATGTACTCAATGCTTTTTTGGCCTCTGTCTTCACGAACAAGGTCAGCTCCCAGACTACTGCACTGGGTAGCACAGAATGGGGAGGAGGTGACAAGCCGTCTGTGGAGAAAGAAGTGGTTCAGGACTATTTAGAAAAGCTGGACGAGCACAAGTCCATAGGGCCGGATGCGCTGCATCTGAGGGTGCTAAAGGAGTTAGCAGATGTGATTGCAGAGCCATTGGCCATTATCTTTGAAAACTCATGGCAATCGGGGGAGGTCCCAGATGACTGGAAAAAGGCTAATGTAGTGCCCATCTTTAAAAAAGGGAAGGAAGAGGATCCGGGGAACTACAGGCCAGTCAGCCTCACCTCAGTCCCTGGAAAAATCATGGAGCAGGTCGTTAAGGAATCAATTCTGATGCACTTAGAGGAGAGAAAAGTGATCAGGAACAGTCAGCATGGATTTATCAAGGGCAAGTCATATTCTGCAGAAAAGGACATAAGGGTTACAGTGGAAGAGAAGCTGGATATAAGTCAACAGTGTGCCCTTGTTGCCAAGAAGGCTACTGGCATTTTGGGCTGTATAAGTAGGAGCATTGCCAGCAGATCGAGGGATGTGATCATTCCCCTCTATTCGGCATTGGTGAGGCCTCATCTGGAGTACTGTGTCCAGTTTTGGGCCCCACACTACAAGAAGGATGTGGAAAAATTGGAAAGAGTCCAGCGGAGGGCAACAAAAATGATTAGGAGGCTGGAACACATGACTTATGAGGAGAGGCTGAGGGAACTGGGATTGTTTAGTCTGCAGAAGAGAAGAATGAGGGGGGATTTGATAGCTACTTTCAACTACCTGAAAGGGGGTTCCAAAGAGGATGGATCTAGACTGTTCTCAGTGGTGGCAGATGACAGAACAAGGAGTAATGGTCTCAAGTTGCAGTGGGGGAGGTTCAGGTTGGATATTAGGAAAAACTTTTTCACTAGGAGGGCGATGAAGCACTGGAATGGGTTACCTAGGGAGGTGGTGGAATCTCCTTCCTTAGAGGTTTTTAAGGTCAGGCTTGATGAAGCCCTGGCTGGGATGATTTAGTTGGGGATCAGTCCTGCTTTGAGCAGGGGGTTGGACTAGATGACTTCCTGAGATTCCTTCCAACCCTGATATTCTATGATTCTATGACAATGGACTTTGGGAGATGCCAATCAACATCTGAGTTTTCCTGGGAACATTCAAACTAACATGTAAACAATGGCGTCGGCCTGCAAAAAACTGAGTCATGCATGGACATGTGATTTGCCCATGCGACTACTAACTCCATCTTGTTTACTGTGACTTTGCACAGAAGAACAAAGGGGTTTCCGCCCACAAGAGAAAGAATATAAAAGGCCCTGGAAACCCCTCCATTTTGTCTTCAATACTGCTTCTTACTTCTGGAGGAACTTTGCTACACTGAAGCTCTGAACAAAGGACTGAATGACCCATCCAAGCTGTGGATGTACTCCAGAGACTTGATTTGTGGCTGTAGTTTATTCCATCACTGCTACAAGCCTGAACCAAGAACTTTGCCATTGTTGTATGCAACTGATTCCATTTAACCAATTTTAGCTCTCATCTATATTTCTTTCTTTTTATAAATAAACCTTTAGTTTTTAGATTCTAAAGGACAGGCAACAGCATGATTTGTGGGTAAGATCTGATTTTTATATTGATCTGGGTCTGGGACTTGGTCCTTTGGGATCGGGAGAACCTTTTTTCTTTTACTGGGGTATTGGTTTTCATAACCAGTCATCCCCATAAGGAGCGGTGCTGGTGGTGATACTGGGAAACTGGAGTGTCTAAGGGAATTGCTTGTGTGACATATGGCTAGCCAGTGGGGTAAAACTGAAGTCCTCTCTGGCATGTTTGGTGTGCCTTAATAGTAAAGGAAACCTGGCCTTGGGCTGTAACTGCCCGGCTCTAAGCAATTTGTCCTGAATTGATACTCTCAGTAGTGTCCCGCCAGAGGCCACATCGTTACAGCTCTCTAGAAAAGTCTTTTGCAGGGTAAGTTTGACAAACGTTAAACCTAAATGAGATCACAGTAGTTGTCAGCCAAGATAGAACAGAAAAAATAATTATCAATCCAGTTAGGAAAGATGTGGACAAATTGGACAGAATCCAAAGAAGAGCAACTGTCATTTTGAAGTTTTTAAAAATGGGTTAAACAAATATCTGTCAAGGATGGCCTAGGTTTACTTAATCCTGCCTCAGCGCAGTGGCTGGAATTGATGACCTCTCAAGGTACCTTCCAGCCCTACATTTTTTGATGATTCTATACCACTTCTAATAAACTGAAAGACAATTTTTTGGATGGGGTGTGGCCCAGATTCACAGGATACAGGGGAAAAGCATCATTTGAAAGGAATGGTTAGTTAGTATTTCTCATCTGATTGTTAAAAAAAAGTAAGGGCTTTACCAATGATCTTTCTTAAACACTATTTCAAGACATTTGTTTAAACCAAGTTTGCGGCTGAGATTACAGGCAACCATATTGGATGTAGTACTACAATTCAATCATGAATAATAAATTAAAAGAAACTCAAGACATCATACTGTCCCCCAAATGAGAGGAGCCAGGAGCCACTAATGGCATGAAGTGCTCTAGAGTAGCATTTTTTTAATTATCTTTGGGTTTGGTCCTGGTATTGGTTTTATATCAAGTGTATATGGGCAGATCGGAGAAGCTATTGGAGATTAAGTAGTGGACATATAATGGCTGCCATCTTGGCAATGCTAAATTTTCAAGGAATGTTACAAAAATCTCCATGCATGATTCAAAAATGAAAACTGGGTATTTTGCACAACTCTAATCACTCCCATAATGACTATCAAAATCAGAGTCTGAGGAGCAATCTGATCTTCCATTAGTAATCATATAGCCAGTCTGTAGTCTTCTATGTCTCTGCCAAGCACTATTCCACAAATGAATAGCCTTCTCTGGGTCAAACTTTTTGATGTCTGGGGAATTCAGCTGAATTATCATGAGATCAGTCACACTTTCAGACATTCCTTTAGAGTGCAGTTGCATCATGGTAAGCTTCATTTGACTGAAGCCACGCTCTGCCTCAGCTGAACTTGCAGGAAGTGTTAGGATCAAATCTACCAGCATCAGGATGTTAGGGTACTTGTGAGAGTAATCTGAGTTCACTGAATCCCATGTCAAACTCCGAATGTTCTGAAATCTAAAAAGAATAGCAGAAAATAAATTAAAAAATTGGTCATGTAGATTTTCCATAATCTTTAAACACATTGGCTTCAAACATTTTTCGTTTGATGAACTTGCACAATTTCAGTATCTTTATTACCTGTCATATAGCTCTAATTTCAGCATGCTCCATTCAGTGTCAACCTCATCAACTTTTACATTGGCACCTTCCAGTATTGGTTCATAATGCTTAGTTAGGATGGACACCTCCCTTTCACCAAATTCTGTACCAAAGGTGAAAGAAAACATCTGCATAACTTAAAGAAAAACACAAATAATTCGGATTTATTCAGATAGCCAGTGCATAGTTTTCCATACCTTGTTTGATTTTGTCTGGCCAAAGTTTAAAACTTCCAATGGTGGTAGCACTCAAAACATCTTGGCTGGCATCACAAAAGCAATCATGTAGCCTCCTCACCAGATTACTTAATACTTTGGTTCGTACTGGTAAGATATTTTCATTGCCTACAAGCTGGTGACCATGAAAGTGTGTAACTGCATCAACTAGGCGCTCCTTTGGACCAGATCTGAAAAATGTAGAATACAAAACAAATATTAATCTTTTCTTACACTTTAAGATAAAACATCTGGTGTAATGGTTAAACACACTCACCTTGTTTTATACATTTGGAGTGTTTCCAGTGTCGACTGCATGGTTGCAAATATATCTGCAATGGAAGAGTTACGATCCTGAGTAACACGGGATAGAATGTTGAGGACATTAATGATATCCAGCAAGAAGTGAGAGAACTTGACAACCTCCATTTTCAGAAGAAGCTTTAGAAGGCCTTTGACTTTTTGGTGATTTGAGGCACTTGGGTCTCCTTGCATCTGAAACTCAACAAGAAAAATAATACATGTCAATGAAAATGGTGACAAACAAGTAGCCATGAGCTTGCTTTTTTTTTTTTTTTGGTCAAGTTACATACAATTTTTAAAGCACTTACCTTATTCATATGCAGGAGAATTGCAGGGTAACCCTTAAGAAGGATCTGGAGAGCTGTCTGTAGGCGAGAAAGCCATCGGGTGCCTCCAATTCGAGAGGGAATCGCTGGACGTAGCTTAAGGGTTTCATATATGGATTTGAGATTGCTCTTATTTAGAGGTGAGTTATGATAAAAGTAATATATATTTTGCAAGAGACCACTTAGAGTGGTGTATAGCTGAATGCTTTTCAGTGCTCCCTTATAAGCCAGTTCAAGTCGATGAGCAAAACAATGCACAGATTGCACACAAGGCTGAATTTCCTTCAGCAGCTTAGCTACCCCATTGTTTTCTCCTACCATGACATCTGCACCATCACTCCCAAACCCAACTAATTTTCTTGACCAGTCTTGACTTGACAGATTGACCTGAAGATTTATTTGCAAAGTTTTCACAATGGCATTTTTTATAGTTGAAGCATCAGACTTGTCAACTGATTGAACCCCAACAATCTGGCAGTGGACTTTTCCTTCAAAGGCAAAGCGTATATATACAACTGCACCTTCTTTGATTGCATTGTCTGCCACTCCATCACTAATAAGGGAGAAGAACTTACATTTTTCGAGTTTCTCTTTCAAGGCCCTACGTTCTACTTCAGCAATATAATGTATAAATGTTCTTGCTGACTTGTCATTTCTAAACATATAACCAATGTCCACACCTTTCATGTCATCCAGTTTGCACATCCAGTCAAGGTCTGTGAAAGGACGTCCACACTTGGCTATAGCATGGCATGTTCTAAAAATATTTTCTATTCTTCCTAAAGTTACTTTGCTCATGCTCTTTAACATCTGCTCAGTAGAAGCTTGGTCTCCTGTAGCATTGCTGGCGGCTTCCATGCAACTAGCCCAGGCATGAGCTTCACTGCTGTGGTGTATATTTATAAATTCAAGCTTAAAGATGTCAGTCCCAGAACAAAAATTATGTATGTTTTCCCCCAAGTTCACATTATGCTTGCGACACAGGGCACAGAACATTATTCCTCTTTTATCATCATACTTTAACCAGGGGTATTTCATTAGCCATGTTTTCAGAAACTGGCGATTCCCCTTTGCTTGATGTTCAAAACACCGTTTCTCTTTTCCTTCGTCACTGACTTTGCTCTTGTTGCCTTTAAAATGCTTCAATGCTTTTATGGCTATAATTAAAAAAAATCATTATTTGGGGCTTGGTTGTGGTTAGAACTCATACACTCACAAACTTTAAGGCTAGACAGAACTATCCTGATCATCTTGGCTGACTCCTGCTCTTCACAGGGCACAGAACCTCACCTACTACTCCTGTAATAGGCCCATAACCTCTGACTAAGTTACCAAAGTCCTCAAATTTTGATTTAAAGACTTAAAATTACAAAGAATCCACCATTTTCTCTAATTCAAACCAGCAAGTGACCCATGCCCCATGCCACAGAGAAGGGGGGGGAACAACCCAAAAACCCAGGGTCTCTGCCAATCTGATCTGAGGCAAAATTCATTCTTGACGCCTAATATCACAAAGAGTTAGACCCTGAGCATGTGGGTGAGATCCACCAGCCAGGGAAAGAATTCTCTGGGTAACTCAGAGCCTTCTCAATCTAGTATCCCATCTCTGGCCATTTGAGATATTTGCTGACAGCATTCACAGATGGTCTATTTGCCATTGTAGGCAATTTAATCATACCATCCCCTTCATAAATTTATCAAGCTCAAATCGTGAAATGCTAGATTTTTTTGCCTCCACTACTCCCCTTGAAAGGCTGTTCCAGAATTTTACTCCTCTGATGGCTAGAAACATTTATCTAATTTCAAGCCTAAACTTATTGATGGCCAGTTTTTATCCATTTGTTCTCGTGCCAACATCTTGTGCTTTAACTTAATAATTCCTCTCCCTTCCTGGTATTTATCCTCTGATGTATTTATAGAGAGCAATCATATCTCCCCTCATCCTTTATTTTGTTAGGCTAAATAAGCCACGCTCCTTAAGTCTCCTCTTGTAAGATAGGTACTCCATTCTTCTGTTCATCCCAGTAGCTCTTCTTTGCACCTGTTCCAGTTTGAATTCATCTTTCTTAAAAATGGGAGACCAGAATTGCATACACTATTCCAGATGACATCTCACCAATGCCTTATATAACAGTAATAAAAATTCACTTTCTCTATTGGAAATACCTCACCTAATGCACCATAGGATTGCATTAGCCTTTTTCATGGCCACATCACATTGGCAGCTCATAGTCATCTTGTGGTTGACCAATACACCTTTCTCCTCCTCTGTAGCTTCCAATTGATATGTGCCCACCTTAGAGAAGAAATTCTTGCTGTTGACCTATAAGTGTTTGACCTGTCACTTTGCACTACTAAATTTAATCTAATTTCTATTACTTCAGTTTTCAAGATTGTCTAAATCTTCTTGTATGATATTCTGGTCCTTCTCCATACTGGCAATACCTCCCAACTTTGTGTCATCCACAGATTTTTATTAGTGCACCTCCACTTTTTGTGCCAAGGTCACTAATGAAAATGTTCAAAAAGACTGGTTCCAAGACTGATCCTTGAGGAACTCTACTAGTAACCTTCTTCCAGCCTGACAGTTCACATTTCAGCATGACCTGTTGTAGTTTCCTCTTTAACCAGTTCCTTACCCACCTTTCGATTTGTTGTACTAATCCCCATCTTCTCCAATTTAACTAATACACCCATGCAAGAGAAAGAGGTGGAATAAGTGCACCTCTTACACCCTTTGGGTCTGGACTCCTAAGAATAATCTTGTGCTACATGCTTACTTACTTCAACCCAAAGCAGATAGATAGTGCAGAGTTTTGGCTCCACCTATGCTCCTTGCTGGCCGACAGAAAATTTGCTGCTGGTATAGAGCAGTAGAAAATCACTACTCCCCGGGAACAAGGAAGAAGAGGAAATGTGATTCATGGGGGTGTCTCTGAGGCACAACATCTGTGAGAACTACTCCTGGGATGGTGAAGCTTACACATCGCCCATTACGCATAGCTGTGCCTAAAATCACAATCTAGCCAATAAAGTTTCCTGTTCTAGAAGTTTATTCTCCTCTGGATAGGTATGCATGAGGTGATGACTTGCCTGAAATGACTAATATTTCAAGATATATGTTGCAACACATCACAGTTCATGGAGGCAGGCTCCTGCATGCAGGCATGGTGGGAACCCCTCAAGCTTGGTTTCCACAGAGGTCATCTTGCACCAACCCTGCAGTACTACCTTTTTGCAGGTCAGCTGCCAGTTCCTCCTTAGGGGGAAATGAAATACTTCTACAATTTATTTATTAAAAAATAGCAACGAAAACCTCAAAATACATAACAGGAAGGCAGATTACTGGTGGTCTATCACAACACATATTGCTAGAAAATAGCAATTATAAGTAAGCAATTTTCTCTAATCTAAATATATTTTTGGTACATTCCCCACTCTCCAGGGATGTCTCTAAAATAAAAATATAACATCAAAAATTCTCAACAAACTGTTGAGAATATATTTGTATCATCACAAGCTAGATAGAGATACATATAATAGAATATGAGACAGGGAGAGTGGGAAAGACTCCATGAATGGGACTGGTCATGGATAAACACCTCTAAAACAAACAAACAAAGAGACTAATAGAGATCCCAAAAAGTAAAATAAAATTACTGAGGCATGGATTGAAACTTTGAACAACCTAGAACAGAAAGTTTCCATAATGCTGATAAGATATAACAAGGGCCAAATTCACTAATGGCATATGAAGGTGCAAGTCCATTGATGTCAGAGGAATTATACCTGCTTAAACCAACAGTAATATAATTTGATTCCTCTCTAAAACCAAAATCTAATAGTTCTTGGTAAATGTGTTCATTGGCAACAGCTCATAATACAAACTGCCTACAGCAACAAGACAGTCACATCTAGTAGAAAATGGCTCATATCTTTGCTGATTCTCTCACCTAGGAAAAACACAAGAAATTTAAATACCTTCTCTGAGGGTTCAAACACAGCAACTATCTAGAGAGAGAGCAACTGACTCTAATTTTGATTTTTCTAGATACACATAGTGCTCATAAGGCCTTCATATGGAGGTAACACAAAAGAGATGACCGATATCAAATCTGAATCTTTTCAGGGAGAATGTGTAGGCTTGATCAAGAGCAAAGAAAACAAATCCACCCTTTGTTTCCTTGGGTCTTTCATCCACTCAGATCATAAAGGCACAATGAAAAATGTCAGCTAGCAAGTCAGTCTTTTTGTTTAATTCGGTATGACTTCATCTTTTCATATATTTGACACTAATACAGTAGAAGAGAATGCTCTCTTCGTGATTGTCTGAATAAATCAACTGCTGTTATGGTGTGGCAAGGCTGCAACTCTAAGGTCTTGTCAAAACCTGTTATGTATGAGGTAAATCCACTGTGGCAGGAAGCCTTGGATTTCTTTCCACGCAGGAGATTTGCAAAGCAACCATGTGGTCTTTCTGCATGGGTATACTAGTGTCCCAAGTCATGATCAGGTGATGCTGCCCCACAAACCTAGCCCATTTTAGCCCTGGCTATAGCAGACTATACCAAACTCTCAATAGGCCTTTGGGGGATGTAACTAGAAGCATCTGAGTAAGCATATATTTCCTATCTACTGCCTTAGCAACAGCTAGAATGGAATAAGGATGCCACCACAAAGTGGGTCAGAATGGGTGTGATGGGGTAGTCTGTCCCCTTATGAGTTGTAAGGCCTAGGGGTCAGCCCACCCCGTCACATGGCATGTCCTTTTAAGATTTTGGGAGGTCTGATTTATATAAGGATGGAGGAAATAGGAGATATTGAAAGAAAGGAAGTGGTTCTGAAAAGAAGCAATGTTTGGGAGGGAATCCCGTTACTATTTCTTTCAGGGCCTGGGACAAGGAGCCTTGCAGAGTGGGTAAGGCAAGACTCACCTCTCTCTCAGCCAACAGGGACAAGCTTGAGGAAGGAAACCAGCATATATGCTTCTTCTCCCTCAAAGTAGGGGACATACCAGCTGAAGGCTGGCTTGCTTGAACCCTCCAAGCTTGCAGCCTAGTAGGGGAAAGGGACCAGCTGAAGTAAAAGCAGGCTAAGGCTCTACAGTTAACCTAAATTACAATCCCCACCTACAAGGAAAAGAGCTTGGGGACTCCTGTCTTAAGAAGAGATATGAGGGACTGCCTGAACCGCAACTCCAGCTCCAAGCAGACGGCTGTGGGGGACTCCTGTCTTAAGGACAGAGCAAGACAAAAACGGGCTTTATGAAGTACAACCCAGCTTCTACCAAAGAGGCTGGGAGTAGCCTTAAGGAAGCGCCTCAATAACTGGCTGGGGAAAAGCGACATGAGGAGACAGAACTCCAGAGCAGGAATAGGGGAATCTGCAGCCCCTGTGAAAGACAAGGACAAAACAGGGAAAAGGTAGGAGCAGCCTGAAGAAGCAGCAAGGGATTAGAAGGAGCAGTTCTTAGCTGCCTAACACAGGGTCCCTGGGCTGGAACCCAGAGGAGAGGGCAGGCCTGGGTTCTCCTCTCTCCTCCAGCAAGAGGGGAGGTGCAGGCCGTGGGTCAGAAAGAGGCAAAAGACAGATGAGTTCCACATGGGGGTCAAAGGCCTAGCATAAAGAAGACTGGACTCTGGATTTTTTCCTCATTGGACTTTTCTGTTGTCCTCAGAAGGGGAGTGAACCAAGAGGTGACAAGGGCAGGCTATGGAAGCTGCAGATTGCTACAGCACCAGTATGATGGCCAATATTGGGTGCTAGAGCAGAAGAACCCCTGCAGTGCTGTGTCCTGGCACAAGGGGATGCTCTGTGAGTTTGCTCCATAGTATACTACACCCTATTGTAATGATTAGTGCAATCCTATTCAAAGAGGAATATGATCTAAGAATTGATCAATCTCAGTCCCTAGTGTCTTCTAGTGAGGGACTAAGGAACAAGTTCTGTACTCTTACCCCGTGAGTAGGGGTCTTTTCCACAAGAAGTTCCATTGAAGAAAAAGGGGCTATTTATTGAATATTTCTGCTGAGTAGTACTGTACAACAGTGGCAGAATCAGGTCTTAAAGGAAAACTGGTGACCTAGCTATCCAATTCAAAAACTTGGGAAAGTGAGATCCTGCAAGGCAGAGTCATTACACTTATCTTCCCGTGTGT